AAATGAAATGATGATACCGAGAAAATTGTAGAATAAACCATAAATTTTTTAGGTATCCTTTTGTAACTAATGCCTAGAGCCTCACCCTAGATCTGGAACGAAAGAGAGTTTGATAGTTTTTTTTTTTTTTTTTTTTTTTTTTTTTTTTTTTTTTTTTCATGTATAAAATTTTAGAATTGTTTAATTGTTTCCAATTAATCTGAATGTATGCTTGTACTTGAGGCCGTGTACCCATTTTTCATCTCCACAGCAGAGAGAAGATGATGGCCACATCTAGAATTTTGAGGTTTTGAACAAACGACCTTGAAATTCATACTAAAAAATACCAGTCTGAGAAACTCCTGAAACTGAAATTCATGTGAAAGGAAAATCATGCGAGCAAATTAAAAAAACATATAAATCGTTCGCTAAAAAGCTGGAATTGGGTGGATAAGTGAGAAGGAGAAGTACGAGATTAAATACAATAATGTCAAATAAGACTCACGACCTCTAAAAGAAAAAAAAAATAAAGTTCAAGACTAAGAAATACATTATAACAAAGAAAGAAAATTACTACATTAATTCATTTATCTTGTGCAATAAGTAAATTTTAAAAGTTTTTTACAAGCCTAGTCTGTAAAATGGTATGAAAATTATTTTAACATTTCTGTTAACAGTCCTCTGACATGATGATTAGCGTATGTGTCTGCAGCGCTAGAAGCTCAAAGTTCGAGTATGAAACATTCCGTACAAAGTAATTTCATTCGCATCAGTCAGCATCAAAATTTGATATATGAATAAGGATATAAAGTCAATTAAGTATTTACATTAAAGTAGGAAAGTTACGGAGAAAATAAACGACCTTGAAATAAACTATAAATGAAAAAAAAATCGTCAAAAGAAAAAATAAAATAGGATGCAGAAAGCAGCGAGTGAGTACCATAAATAAAAAAATAAAAGAATAAAATAGGATGCAAAAAACAGTGAGTACTAAGCTCGGAAGAATGTTTTAACATCTAAGCGATGATTAATTCACCTTTGTTTTAATTTTGATTCTCATTTTTTTTCTTTCGTAATAATGGTATTTCTATAATAATATGGAATACTACCAATGCATTACAACTTTTTCAGTGCATTTATTAACCTTTTTCTATTGGTTCATTTTATGAGGGGGGGAAACCAGCTTTATCTATAAATTAAAAATTTACTCTTAATCTATTAACATTTTCAGTAGTTAATAATCTTGTAATTATTATCATTGAATCATATATTTGTGACATGCACTTAGGAGATATGAAAATTAAGAAAATAAGTTAAGATTGTGAATCGATGATCCTTGAGCATATGGCAACATAATTTGAATTAAAAGTGAACCTAAAAATTATTATTTTCAAAGAAATGTCTATCCGAAATTTCAGAGTTAAAAACCTATGTTCTCCACAGCACCGCTAGTTGGAAGCGAACGCGAGGAACCACTTTACTTTTCAGAAATGCCGCCAGGTAGTGCCCGTGTTCTGTTGGTCAGGCGAAAAGGTGTGAATACTGGGATGTCTCTTTGGGAAAGCTACCGCCACCTCTTTCATCGCACCGCCCGAGGAAAGGGGGACGAAAATCGCCAAATCGCATCGCCAAATGCTTTGAAAGAAGATCGTTTTCTTTTCTGTTTTCCACTATTTTTCAGTTATTTGAGAAAATTTAGCAGTTGATGAGAAACAAGTAGTATGTTTTCCACGAAGATTATAAATAATTAAGCAAACTAACAGCGTAGAAATGAATTTGTTATTTTAACTTGCACTAATTAAACTATAAATGTTTGTACCAGAAAGTTCTGAAATTAGTTTTGTATTATGATGATTTATTATAAAGTAAGGAGAATTGATATAACTTTTACAAGAAAAACAGTTCCTTGAAATTTAATAACTACTTAATTCCTAAAACTTCGAATTTTGAGTAATAAAATATAAACACACAGCAAATTGTTAAGCTAGAATCAGGACGAGGAGATTAAATTGAAGTTTTTTTAAAGATTTCATTATTCGAAACATAGAAGTAAATGCTTCGAGATATTAGGTTGTAATAAGAAATTTTCGGATTTTAATGTATTTTTCTTTTCTTCTTTTAATCTGTTATATTTACTTTCGCTTATTGGTAATATCATGAAGACATGAGCTTGACTGAAGATCAATAAGCTTGAAGTGCATTCATTTCACTCTTGTTTGTTTACACTTTTGCAATATATTAATGTAATTAATTCTGCTTAGATCGCTCCGCGTATATATCAAAATTTTCATAAAATATGTTCAAGGTTTATTTTAGGTAAAAAATTTTTGCTCATATAAAAAAAAAAAAAAAAAAAAAAAAAAAAAAATTAAATTAAACGTCCTCTATTACTAGCTAAAAGAATAGCGATTAAATACAATATACAGTAAAAATAGAAAGAACTTATAAATTTAAAGTTACACGGAAATAAATTGACATGAATATGAAAATTGACTTAAATATGACATGATATATATAACAAATTGAAAACCTTATCACTAGCTTAATAATAATAAAAAAATTACATTTTCCTGACTTATTTTTTTTATTTTGGGCATTGTTTATATTTTATGATATGTATACCCCATGTAACTCCTGAAACCTTATATTTAAAAGCTAAATGGAAACTTAAATTTTACATAAATTTAAAAGAAAATTTTCTACTAAAGAATTACCTATATCAGTTGCTCTCGAAATTGGTAGAATTTTGCTTCATATATGATTTACTCTTTCAATATGTAAATAAATAGTTGTAGAATATCCAAATATACAGTTTCATATTACATTAATATTTAAATATACACACAGTTACGCTATTCCATAGTTATATTTTTGCCTCCTTTTACATTTTACTTTTTGTTTCTCTTTCATGTAGATTTTTACTTTTGTGTTAAAGGCTCTCATTTTTAATACTTAGATACCTGTATGTTTTTATCAGAGTTTGGTTACTTTGCTTTATACTAAATAAGTAGATTCCGCAAATCATGTTGGTAGTTCTATGAAATGTAAATTAAAATGAGCGGGCAGCAACATAGTGATACATAGCAACTCAAATCTACCCTGTGCTGTTTCCTAGAGGCAGTTGGAATCGTTAACAACCTGCAACTTTCAAGCCATATAAACTAATGGGAGGAGGTGAAAATAGCCAGTGTAGAACTTAATAAATCTTTTTAATTTACATGTCATCCTTCAGAGGATTAGATTAAAATGTTAAAATCCGTTTCTTTTATTCGTAAGAGATATAGAAAAACACTAGAATACTGCAATGATCGATAAGCTTTTTATTACTTTTCCAATAGATAACGAATGTGCTGTTCAATACATTTTATTTTTACTTTATTTAATTTTGGTTAATAACTTACTTTGGATAATTTATCCCTTAAAAGCGACTGCATTCGTATACGTCAAAAGAATATCATGTCTGATGTAGATTGTTCTCTATCATCTGCGTTTTCACGTGTTCATTGTAAGTTTTGAAATATATTGCTTGCTGATACTTGAGCGCTACTGTAGTTTCAAAAAATTCAATATTAAAAAAAATTAATGGCGATTAGATCTCGCTTGTTTCTGAAAACAAAAGCACACACGCCCAAAAAATGAGTTAATTATTTCGATAACTAATAAAACACTCATGCTTTTGAAATTTTTGTTTTCAAGACAAATATTCAATAAAAAATATACATCATTAATATTCTACTGAGCATGGAAACAGATTAAAGTCTTCTAAATATATCAAGCACTAAGTTAAAAAATTATTTTTTCTGACGTAAAAGTACGGGCTAAAATCTTTCAATTTCGTTAATTAATTTTATGAACTTATAAGTTATCAAAATACGCTTTCGACTAAACGAGGAATTTCGACTAATCAATTAATGAATAAAACCTGGATAAACAGTAAAGAAAATAGTTCAAAACAGAATAATTGCAATCGATTTTCCAAATCCTTGAAATTTAAATACTTCTTATCTTAGTGTTTTTCCTGCAGAAAAGAAGCAGAAATTCTAATGATGCATTGAAAAAATTTATAATTCTCTTAAAATATGGTACAGTATATAAAACTGGCAAAATAAGTGTCTGCGACTTTCTACGAATCATCTCATTTAATCTGTTTCATATTTAATAAATTTAGGTGAAGACTTTTAAGCTTTTACTTTAATTGATCATATATAATCAATTTTTTATTATTTTTCTGTTCTGTCCTTTTACTTTTAATCAGCCTTCCCCAGAATGCAAAGAAATTTTCAAATATTTGCTCATAATGATTGTCAGCTTTGATTGACTGTTTACTCTACCTTGTAATTCTGCTGTTTGTTCTAGCCTTCAGGAAAAAAATAGCTTGTTTTGGTTATCCACGTGCATAAAGACAGGAAAAAGTAACGGTACTTTAATATCGCAACAGCAGACTTTCTCTTAGAATTTAACAAGAATGGTTAATTTAAAGTAAAGACTCCTTTCTATCTTAAGACACGAAAGTTACTTTACAATGAATTTAGTTTCATGTATATGTTTATCAGTTACAACCGTTTATTCAATTTTATGTATATGTTTATTATAGGATATTTATATTAAGGAATATAAACTTCTAATTTATGTTTAGATAAATATTTTATGAGTGCGTATATATTATATAAAAAAAATATATTTATCTGTTTAGCAGAGCCAGTATTACATATACTCATTACAAATGCAATTTTTATTTTTATCAATTAAAAATTTGCAGAAACTTTTCATCTTGAATAAGGAACCTACTTGCATTATAAATTCAGTTTTACCTTTTTGCCTGCAAACTCTATGTATACCTAACATCTAGCAATTTGCAAGTTAATTTATTGTACCTGTCTAAACACTTTTACAAACCATGAATGTAATAAATGGTCACTTCGCCAACTAGTTCAAGTATAAGGATGAATCGCCAAATTTGGCTCCGTATGGGGTGTAAAAAATGGGTGTTTCGTAAAGGGCCTATAGTCCGTGTCGTGATGCTGGACCACTTGGCCGTTCATCCGGATAATAAGGAAATATGTTCTTCATTCGTACCATCCTCATAACCATTCTGGCACTATCACCTATCACTGCTGTCCACTGGATGTGAGTACTTCAATATTCTCCCACTCGAAAAACGTTTTTGCCGGGAAAAAAAATCTCTATCACTTTCCGAGCATATTATTTTTTGTATCATGTTATCCTTTTGAAACAATGAAATGAATGCTTTTCACGGGAAAGATATTCGAAGACAAAGAAAAAGAGTATACTTAAAATTTACCGCGAAGTTTTAGCGTCGAATGACATGCGAGTGTTTGTTACATTATATCGTAAAAAGTCTCGGATTACCTACAATATAAGGTCGGAAAATGTCTAAAACCACTGTGCTTATTATTGGATTAATATGAATTTGGAAAAAAAAAATTACGATCTTTCTTCGTGCAAAGATAAAGTTTAAAAAAATGAATGGCATATTCTCCAAATACATAAAATATTTATTTTGAAAGTACTGATATAAAGCATCTAGATAATATTTTACCTGATATCAAATTATTTAAGAAGCAGTGAAAGTAATAATTTTCATAAAATTTGTTTACTTCGTAATATATGATGAAAATGACAATTACAATAAAAGAGCCTGTGAAATACTCTGTCATTTGTTGAACAATGAAAAAATGAAATTTAGGTTCAAAGTAATTATTGTTGAAATACATAAACAAGGGATTATTAAATGCTTTGACGTATTATAATCATTAAACTGGTAAATTGAAATTTTTCCATTTTTTCTAATTTATGTCTTTGGATGAGAGTAAAACCAAATGTGACCAAAATAATTATCTTCTAAGCGAAAGCATAGATAAAATTATGATGTCGTATTGCAGATTAAAATTCTGCAATAAAATATTCATTAAGCTGCTGTTACTGAAAATGATGTTTTTTGTTTAACTTACAGAATTATCATAACGTTATAAATATTTGGAGAAATTTTTATAAAAAAAGAATTCTTATTAATTTATTCTATAAGAAATTCATGCAAATTCAACCTACCATAAGTGCATTTATTTATTTATTTGGAAGGAAAAGTAACGGGGAAATATTACATTTGGTAAACAAACTTTTAAAAAAAGGATACTTATATCCAACGAAAAATCACTTAGGTAACTTTTAAATATAAGAATAAAAAATATGCCAAATATCATTTAAAATTTTATAGAAACTGCTCATTGTGTCGATAGTGTAGTGAACATAAAATGATAAAATTTGTTTTAACAACTGAGCGACAATTGCTTTCATAATTCAATGACATATTACATTTTGCTGTATTACTTTAATTATATAGAGAAAGATGCGTAATATTACATGCATGTTCCATTGGCCTGTTAAGTTTTTTTTTTTTTGTTATGTAAATAGTATTTTAACGAATATTAATAATATGCTGCTAATCAAGAGTAATGTAAAGTAAATTTTGTCGAATAATATATTAAAATTTATTCTTGATTACTTGCTTTAAAGAATAATTTTTAAAATTCCTCTTTTATATCCTGTAATTCTTTTATCAGTTCATACAAATTGCTCTTGAATTTGTGTTTCTGCAATGAAAAATATTGGCTCCATATTTTTTTTTTGGAAGAGGAGTGGGAGGATTTCTCATGCACAACATAAACATGAACAAGTTCTTGTAGAGAGCTCTCCAAGAAGGCACATTTCTTTGGCAGAAAAGCGTCGCGCGCTTTCTTAAAGTGAGTTAACAACTAAACATAAGCATATTTCTAGTATATATCAATTATGCTTTTAGTTTATAACATTATCAAAATATGTTTCCATCCAAAATCATTTCCTTTGATTAGTTCTTATGCATACAAAAGCTTAATTACGTGATAAAAGTTTTCATCAACTGGGTTGCCGAAATATATCAGAAAGATTCAATAAGCTATTTGTATAGTACGCTATAATGTATATATTATTAACTTATAACGTTATAAAAATGTTTCCATTCAAAATCATTTCCCTTGCTTGATTGTTATGCATGCAGAAACTTAATTGCTGTGATAAAATTTTTTATCAACTGGTTTACTGAAACATAACATAAAGATTCAATACGATGCCTGAAGAAAAATAAAATTCAGTGAACCACTTGAAAAAAGAAGATTTAATCAAATTATTTAATTATTTATAAGATAGTGAAAAGTGTTACTTGCTGCAGCAAATTGTATTTTTCAATATATTTTATCGCAGTGCTTCCATTTATAAGATATATTTTAAGCTTATGTTATAATACAATGTATTGAATGTAATTATATGTAAGGAATTTGTTTAATGCAGAGCTACATAAGTTCCTTTTTTCTTTCCCTTTCGCTCCTTTCTGAATTTAGGGAAAGAAGATATTTTGAGGCAGTTTCATCACATCTGAATTTCGAACATTTATTTAAATTATGTACATAAATTTAAACATTTTGTATGTGATGAAACATTACATATGAAATGTTGTTAGCGTAATTTTTCTGTTTCGGAGTTTCAAAAGAATTTAAAAGAAATCATTTCGGACCTAAGACTTAATGTCATTTTTTACTTTTACTTTTCTAATTCTTGGGGAGAGAGGAAGAGGGAAAAAAGGCTAATTCTAAAAAGGACTCGATTAAAAAGGAAGTTTTAGTCTTAATAGAAATCAAGCACTGTTTCTGAAAAATACTCCCAAACTAGAAAACAAAACTGATTTATAATTTTCAAGAAATGAAAATTTCTTAAACCATGTTACGGAAATTTACCAACACAAAAACAAGATTTTAAAGAATTAAGTTTAACAATTGGATTTTAAACGTAACAGTAGGTGTCGAGCAAATATAATTGCATTAAATTTTGATTTTCCATAATGTACATTTTTTTATTAAATATCACTCGCTAATCTAGAAATATGCACACTTACTTAGATTTATTTATAAAGTGTTACATTTACTTTGAAATTGTCTTACTGTTCATTTATACTAGTGAAAAAAGTACGCAAACATTAATAAAAATTTGTCAGAAGTCAAAGAAAACTGATATTATTGCTAAGTAACACAAAATATTAGGGAAAATAGAACAATTTATGGAAATCCTTAATATTTTCCATTTGTGTTTTAGTTGCTAATTTTATAAAATTTATTTCTTTTTTAAGTTTCAAGGAGGATATTACATATTAGTGATTATTGAAAAAACTTTTGTTTTAGATTTCCTGACTATGAGCCCGATGAGAACTCTGCTGGTCTAAAGTACAAATTTGAGAAACAATGCAAAAATGCAGGGATTTTGCAATTATAGTAAAAGAAAACTTAAAGAATTAATTATTTTATGAATAAATACATTTTTCTATCAGATATACCAGAAATATTGTTAGGCTAAAATTAAAGTAATTTAGATTAGGGAGCACATATAGATAGGGTTCAAAATTTTCCTGATATTTGACTAATGAAAATTCAACTTTCATTAATCTCAAACTTATTACAGCTCATTCTAAGTTAATTATTTTTAATCCCAAATTAAAGATTATCGTTATTAACTAAACATCAGTCAGAAAATGTTCGTCACTTTGATGGTAACTAAAATTCTAACTTTGTGCATTTATCTCCAACATTTTGATTTGAAGAATTTGAATTTTTCTTAAGTACGTTTATTTGTTCGTTTTCAATTGGCGAAGTCATTTGGAATCGTTCTCCTTAGAACAGATTTATAAGCGACGGATATATATATATATTAAAAGACAGAAGATTTTTTCTTTTCTAGAAATTGAACCAAAAAAACAGAAATGACGATTTTTAGCTTCTACTGAAAGTGGATTTTGTATCGGAAAATTTTATTTATACTCAAATTAAAAAAATATCGTTAAATTGTTTTTAACTGTTGTTTTGTAGCTCAAATATATATGCACATTCTTTGACTTCTAGTTGATTAATTTCTTACGTGTTCATAAAATTCAATATTATCAGACGAAAAAAAATATTGTTTTTTAAGAACTTAATGATGGCGTACATTTTAGCTTAAAAGTTCAATAAATTCTAATATAAGAAACAATATCTTTACTAATACATGATAAGACAAGCAAGTCCTCTATCTTAGTAAAAATATTTACTGTTGTTTCGATAGTTCGTAGGATTTTTGTTATTTATGTATTTTGTAAGGGAATGTATTTCGCTAAAAAGCTATGCTCTTCATTAACTTAATTTTTAATAATCATAAAGAGATTTAAATATCCTCATATTTTACAAACGGAATACTTTTCAGTACGAAGGGCGAAAAATGCGATTCTTTGCCGACAAGGAAATGGATATGCACCGCTAACAATGCTTGAACTGTGCGTGACCACACGGATATTTTCTCACGCGCTGTATGACGCATAAGTAAATAGGATATTATGTTATAAGTGCTCCATGTTTTCACATAATACTTTTAACAACGAAAAATAAAATCCGGTTTTTGGAAATTAATGTAAACAAGGTTAATGAAATAACTGTAATAATAATCGCTTAAATTAAAAGCCATTTAATTCAAAGCAGATGAACTATGTTATGCAATATTTGTATTCCTATATGTATGAATATGAAAAAAATTTTATCGCAATATGAAATTATAGAAATTTTTTCAGAAATGTTGTCATTCATCATTTATGCTTAGAAGTTATGCTTAGAATGCATTTATGTTGTAACTTATTTGTCTGTTTATGAAATTGAAAGAAATGGATTTTAACTCAGGAAAAAACTTAAATTTATTCTTTCCTCTTTCTTTTCATATTACTTAGAAATATGATAAATTAAGAAGTTCTCAAAATCAAATCCGAAATATTTATCTAAATAGCAAGATTTTTTCTGCAAAAATCTTTGTTTAGGTTTTATATAACTTTTATAATTACTCATTAATTTTTCAACTCTCGAAAAAGAAACATTCCTGAAAAAATTCAAAATATGCGCTGAAAATTTATTGATAGAAAATAAACTTAAATTTAATTCTGTTGAAAGTGGATATTTAAATAACCAAATGCGAATATCTAACTGCTTACAGAACTATCAATTTCCTATATTATTTATTTAAATTGTAGTTCTGTTTAGCACAAACTTATTTAAGGAAATAAACGA